AGCACCCCACGGCTCAGCACCCCCAGACTCCGCACCCCCAGGCTCAGCACCCCCAGTCGCAGCACCCCCAGGCTCAGCACTCCCAGACTCCGCACCCCCAGGCTCAGCACCCCCAGTCGCAGTACCCCCAGGCTCAGCACCCCCAGACTCAGCACCCCCAGGCTCAGCACCCGCAGCAGGACCAGAGTCACCAGCAACCTCGACCGGCTCGACTGCGTCTACCTGGGACACACCTGAAGGGGCAGGACCCTGAGGGGGAAGGGGGTCTACCGGGGGGGGACCTGGCACAAGGAAGTGCGGTGGCGGGGGGAGGGAAGGAGTGCGGTAGGGGAAGAGGCGGTAGAAGGGGACTGACTCGTCGAACGTGACGTCCTGGGAGGACAGAACACGACGAGAGGAGGGGTGGTAGAATTGCCACCCTGGAGCGTCAGGGGGGAAGCCGAGGAAGACACAGGGAGCAGCACGAGGGGACAGCTTGTCCGCAGACAAGTCGCGGACAAACGCCCGAGATCCCCAGACACGGAACGCAGACGCATCGCCGACCTTCCCCGTCCACAGCAGAGCTGGGGAGGTCTCCGGCCGGGAGACCCTGGGGTGAAGGTTGATCTGATGCGCCGCGTACCGAACCGCAAACGGCCACAGAAAATGGGGGGCAGCCGCATGCATCATGGACGTACGAGCGACGTCCATGACCATGCCAATGCGGCGCTCAGCAATCCCATTTTGCTGTGGAGAGTCCGGAAGCGTAAAGGTCTGGCGGATGCCTCGTGCACGACAGTAGGCTCGCAGAAGGCCAGAGGAGAACTCTCCACCTCGGTCAGAGTGCAGACGCAGAACAGGAAAGTCCGAGCCGAAGCTCCTCCTGAGCTGGAGACGAGCTGCGCGGATCCAGTCGATCAACACCTCAGTGACATCACCCTTGCTGCGCAAGGGGAAGACTGTGGTGTAACGCGAGTAGTCGTCAACCACCAGCAGGAAGTAGCGCTCGTGACCCTGCCCACGGACGCGGGCGGGGCCCCACACGTCCATGTGAAGCGTCTGCAGAGGAGCCTCTGTCGGGGGAAACTGAGAGGAGTGAGGGGCAGCCCGGAGCCGCCCCTCGACACAGGGGACACAAGAAGGTCCGGGTCCCGAAGGGAGGGGAGGGAGAGACCGGGGAAGACCAGAGACAAGGACACGGGAAGCCATGCCCCGAAGACGAAGCAAGGAGGGGTGGCCAAGACGGTGGTGCCACAGGAGAGTCTCGTGAGACAGGCGGCGACACGAGCAGGGGGCAGACTCAGGACCAGACCTGGACGCAGCAGCAAACACCTGACCCGACGCAGCTACCTGGCCAGACGCAGGGACAGGAGGAGACGCAGTGGTCAGTGTGTAAAGACTCGACCCTGGCCGACGCGAGAACGTGGCCAGGTGTCGGCCTGTGCGGGCATCCGAGCAGTGGGTCACCCGCTGACTCGCAGGAGTAAACTGGTGAACCCCCGCATCCTGCAAGTCAGCACCACTCACCAAGTTCGTCGAGAACGAGGGGAGGTACAGACCAGACAAGGTGCCCGAGGGGGCAGCCGGACACGGGAGGACAGTGGAGAAGTGAGAGAGGACAGGACCCCCAGAGGGGTCAGCCAGGGAGACTGCAACCGGCCGGCCAAGCGGCGTGAGTGTGGTGCGGTCTCGAAAGAAGGAGCGAGAAGCCCCTGAGTCAAGTGTGAAGGTGAGGGAGGCCGAAGCCGACGCAGTACCTGAGAGCGCAGCCTCACCAGTACCTGAGAGTGCAGACGCACTGGCACCTAGAGCAGCAGCCGCAGAAGTACCTGGCGCAGCAGTACCAATGCCCGGGTCGGGCGGGAAACACTGGTAACAGTCACCCTCCTCACTAATAGTCACAGCATACATGGCAGCAAGGATAGCATCAAAGTCAAGATCAAAGACAGCTACGCCAGCCCTAGACAGCTCTCCCCAACGGGGAATCTCACTGGCCTCGGGGAACTGCTGACGCCAAGCGTCCGTCAGGCGGGCAAAGCAGCGCTGAGTGGGGTGCGCACCCCCACACTGCTCACCCGCTCGGTCACCGGAACGAAGGACGTAGGTGCATGGACCAAAACCCCCACCCCGCTGACGCTGCGTGTACCACTCACGGAGCTGCTGGGGCGGGGGGATGTCCCGCGAACGCTGCTGCTGCTGCTGCTGCTGCTGACGCTGGCCACCACCAGGGCCGCTACGCTGCGGGGCACCACCCCGACCAGCTCCGCCCCCTCCGCCACCGCTGCCTCCACCTCCACCACCACCGCTGCCTCCGCTCCCACCGCTGCCGCCACCGACGCCTCCTCCTCCGCTGCTGCCACCTCCACCACCGCCCCCGCCACCACTCCCACCGCCACCCCCACTCCCTCCTCCGCCTCCACCGCCTCCTCCACCGCCCCCGCCAGCTCCACCCGCGCCCTTGCCCCCCTTGCCCCTGCCAGGGCGGCGTCTCCCGCTAGGGGCAGACGCCGCGCAGACCGACTCAAGACCAAGCAGGTCGGCAGCAGCAGCAGAGGCAACAGAGGGCAGCAGGGGGGAAGGAGAACACCCCTCAAAGATGGGGGTGCGAGGGTCACCACGAGAGGCTCCTACAGCGACGATGCTCTTCTCCGCCGCCAGGAGGGACTTCTCGAGGAGGTCGACAGTGAGAGTGGTGGGACAGACCGAGAGGTAGTGGTCCCTGACTACGCGAAGGGAGTCAGGGAGGCGTGTGACGATGTAATAGAGAGTGATGTACATGGGGGGGGGGTTCTTGGCGCAGAACTCAGCAGGAAGGGCGGCGCGGTAGCGAGTGTCACTAGTGCGGAGGTGCGTAATGAGGTCAGCGACAGTGGGAAAGGCAGCAAGGTCAGGAAAGAGGTACGGTAGCATGAGGCGGCTCAGGGCAGCAGTGGCAGGGGAAGAGTAGCGCGCAACTACAGCGTCGTACAAGGTCTGAGCACTCTTGTACTGACTAAAGTGCGCGCGCTCAGTGGTAGGCAGGTGGCGACGCACAGCAAGACGTGCAGCAGCATCGCGGGTGGCCCACTGAGAGCGAACAGTGGGGTCAGCATCAGTAGCAGGGGCAGGAGAGGCGCCAGAGGTGAGGTCAAAGAGGGAAAGACCGTCCGCCCTATCGCACTGTAAGAACAGCTGCAGGTCGTCGACCCAGACCTCAAAGTCAATGGCTCGACCCTCAGCGTCAAAAGCGAGGACGCTAGGGGTAGCCATGACGACGACAGACGAGCAGTGCAAGCAGTAGGGGAAGGGCACGTAGTGACAGTGGGGCTGTGCTCACCGGACAGAGCAGGTCGGGCGGCCCGGCAGTAGGGCGGCTCGGCTGCTCAGCGGCTCGGCGGCAGTGCGGCTCGGCGCCCGGGCGGCTCGGCGGCAGGGCGGCTCGGCTCCCGGGCGGCTCGGCGGCAGGGCGGCTCGGCTCCCGGGCGACTCGGCGGCAGGGCGGCTCGGCTCCCGGGCGGCTCGGCGGCAGGGCGGCTCGGCTCCCGGCGGTTCTGCTGCTAGGCGGCTCCCGCAGGTAGGGCGGCGGTTGGGCCGCAGGTAGGGCGGCGGTCGGGCCGTAGGTAGGGGGGCGGTAGGGCCGCAAGTAGGGCGGCGAGCAGGCCGCACTTAGGGCGGCGGGCGAGCCGCAGGTAGGGCGGCGAGTAGGCCGCAGGTAGGGCGGCGTGGGGCCGGGACGGGCGGCGCGTGGGCGTCGAGGGGCCGGGACGGGTGGCGCGCGGGCGTCTAGGGGCCGGGACGGGCGGCGCGCGGGCGTCTAGGGGCCGGGACGGGCGGCTCACGGGCGGCGAGGGGCCGGGACGGGCGGCGCGCGGGCGTCGAGGGGCCGGGACGGGCGGCGCGCGGGCGTCGAGGGGCCGGGACTGGCGGCGCGCGGGCGTCTAGGGGCCGGGACGGGCGGCGCGCGGGCGTCTAGGGGCCGGGACGGGCGGCGCGCGGGCGTCTAGGGGCCGGGACGGGCGGCGCGCGGGCGTCGAGGGGCCGGGACGGGCGGCGCGCGGGCGTCGAGGGGCCGGGACGGGCGGCGCGCGGGCGTCTAGGGGTCGGTCCGGGTGGCGCGCGGGCGTCTAGGGGCCGGGCCGGGCGGCGCACTGGCGTCTAGGGGCCGGGACGGGCGGCGCGCGGGCGGCTAAGGGCCGTGACGGGCGGCTAAAGGGGCCACTAGAGGCCAAGAGAGAGGGGAGCGCGACTCGGGTAGGGGCAGAGTGCGCTCCGGGCAGGAAAAAAAAACGGTGGGCCCTAGGAACAGTTCCCACGAGGGAACCTGCTCGATACCATGAGAAGAGTAGAACGAGAATGAATGAACTATGAATGAAGTGAGTACATATGGGAAACCCTAATTGGGTTGTACCCCCTATAGGATACCCCACTATAGCCTACACAACAGCATAAGCTATATATATGTTCTGACAATTTCTCGCGTTTCATGGTCTATTGATGTGCTCACGAATATTTGCGCAATTTCCTACCTCGTAAACACCTTTTTTGTCGTATTCGAATCGCATTGCGCTCGTTTTCCTCCGTTGCCGTCCTTATTTCTCTCCCGCCCCTCCATTCCTCACGTATCTGCGGTAGCAAAGGCGCAACGGTAGCGACAGGCAGGAATGGGTGCGACGGTGGCGAGCAGCGGGGCGACGATAGCTAGATATCGGTGGTCGCATATGAGCAGCGGGGCGACGATAGCGAGCGGTGCGGCGACGATAGCGAGCAGCGGGGCGACGATATGAGCAGCGGGGTGACGATAGCGAGCAGCAGGGCGACGATAGTGAGCACCAGGGCGACGATAGCGAGCACCAGGGCGACGATAGCGAGCATCAAGGCGACGATAGCGACAACCAGGGCGACGATAGCGAGCACCAGGGCAACGATAGCAAGCACCAGGGCGACGATAGCGAGCAGCGGGGCGAAGCATCTGTGCGACGGTGGCGAAGCATCTCGCGTCCCACCCTGTCACCTCCCGGAATAATCCAATTTCCCCCTCTCCAATGCCTCCCCCTTTCCGATCCCTTGCCCGGTCCTCAGCATCAACTTCTCTTGGGCAGTGCCCTCCCTGTTTTCCTCTCCCTTTCTCCCTGTCCTCCTCTCCCTTTCCCCCTGTCCTCCTCTCCCTTTCCCCCTGTCCTCCTCTCCCTTTCCCCCTGTCCTCCTCTCCCTTTCCCCCTGTCCTCCTCTCCATTTCCCCCTGTCCTCCTCTCCCTTTCCCCCTGTCCTCCTCTCCCTTTCCCCCTGTCCTCCTCTCCCTTTCCCCCTGTCCTCCTCTCCCTTTCCCCCTGTCCTCCTCTCCCTTTCCCCCTGTCCTCCTCTCCCTTTCCCCCTGTCCTCCTCTCCCTTTCCCCCTGTCCTCCTCTCCCTTTCCCCCTGTCCTCCTCTCCCTTTCCCCCTGTCCTCCTCTCCCTTTCCCCCTGTCCTTCTCTCCCTTTCCCCCTGTCCTCCTCTCCCTTTCCCCCTGTCCTCCTCTCCCTTTCCCCCTGTCCTCCTCTCCCTTTCCCCCTGTCCTCCTCTCCCTTTCCCCCTGTCCTCCTCTCCCTTTCCCCCTGTCCTCCTCTCCCTTTCCCCCTGTCCTCCTCTCCCTTTCCCCCTGTCCTCCTCTCCCTTTCCCCCTGTCCTCCTCTCCCTTTCCCCCTGTCCTCCTCTCCCTTTCCCCCTGTCCTCCTCTCCCTTTCCCCCAGTCCTCCTCTCCATTTCCCCCTGTCCTTCTCTCCCTTTCCCCCTGTCCTTCTCTCCCACCTTTCCTCCCCCTCTCTCACATCCCTTCCCTTTCCTACTGTCCTCTCCCACCATTCACGCTTCTCTCAGCCATCCCTTTCCCCCCTCCCCTGCCCCTCGCCTTTCCCCACTACCGTCCCTTCCCTTTCCACTACGTTCTCTCGTCCAGCCCACCCGACAGTACCAACTTTGCTTGGCCACTGAAGGCTGTCTATCATATCTCAGTTTCCATGCTCTCTTCAATTTCCCTACCTAACATTCTTCAATAATGCGCAACGTTTCCTTCCCCTTTTCCCCTCCCCCCTCCTCCCTGTAAATGGACAGCTTCACCAATAGTGGATCGGAGTGTAAAAATCGGCTCTCCTTGGATTATGCCATGTTGTTTGCTTGCGATCCTTTGCATGATAAGGATTTCAATATGACATTCCAAGTCTTGCACGTCTGTACAGTTGATGTTCTTTCTCCCCATTAGAAATAATACTCTTGCAAATGGATGGATAAATAAACCAAAATAATCCTTGTAAGTGAAATATGTATTTTGCAAAGCTTTTGTGAAACATAAGGTTTATCGTTTTGCAATGTGGAGGTGTTATTGGCAGAACAATCAGCGAAAGGGAGTATGGGGGTGTTGATGTGGTCCCATTTCCCGTTTCGTGTGTGTTCCCCCCTTCCCTTCCCCCCACCCCTTCCCCCCCACTTTTCCTTTCGAGGTTCGCGACATTCGCCTTGGATGTTTTCATCGCAACACAACTTACACACTCGCTAGCCAATTGACTACCAGTACGGAACAAGACAAAAGCCGGCTTGTCACTGTTCCTAAGATAGTTGCACCACGGCTTTAATTGGATGGTAGTCTGGCTCCTCGCCTGATCGGGAGCCAACGGGTGGCGCAAAAGTGAACCCACCAACTGTGTGGACAATTCGCGCACAAAGATATGGTGTGTCATAAAATGCATTTGCTTGCAACAGTGACGTTGTTCTGGCGCTTTGTGAGATGGACGCTGCGGCAATGGAGGACACTCCCACGAAAGAGGGTAGGCTGGTGATGTGGCAGTCGTCCCTTGGAAATAGGAAAAGCCTCACACCGTGTGCTTCAATTGGCACGGACGTGGCGGTTTCGACAGATTTTATTCAGTCGAAGGCCGTGGTGCACCACAACGGTTGGTACTCGTTTAAAGTCGATTCCTTTCGAACACAACGGTTCGCATTATCATTGAATCTAGAACGGAAAACAATTGCGGGAATCATTTCAATCTACAGAAACCAAAGCTGCAGATTGCTTTACAATGTTTTATCTTTGTAAGGAAAATTCCTTTTCCTTACTTCGCATCCTTGCTCAACGCGTACATCACTGTAGCACCACAGTCAGCACCGTTACCACTCACAACCCTCGCATCGACAATCTGCCCGCCACCTTCGCACATCGCACCCCGACCTCACGGCTCGGCGGGTAACCCGCGCTCCGGGCCTCCGCTTCGACACTTTTTCCAACCTCAGTCCCAGGCCCGTCGCGCGACAACCACATTCCATTACTGTTACCACTGTAGTTTCGCTATATATTCTTCGCTCATGCCTTCGCTCATTGTACTCTTGCTTCGATAGTGCAATTCTCGTTCGTTCACTCAATTGCACTCGTAACACTTGGTATTCAGAGCCTACGACCTCTTCTCGGACCGCACCCACACCTTCGCTTCCCCACCATCTCAATTTTTGGGGGGGGTAGACGTCCCTCAGCGACACAGCACCGCCGCTCGTAGTGCTCTCTCGTAAGCACGCACGGCCACGACTGAGGCTCTCGCTGAGCTCGCCCGACACCCCCGCCATGGCCGAATTCACGCTCGCCACATTGACGCAGGAGCAGCTCGACCGTCTGGTGCGCCAACTCGAAGATTCGGCGCTCGAAATTGCGATGCTCACAGCGGAACGTGACTCCGCGCGTCAGCAATCAACGGTGAACACTCCAGCAGCACCACACGCACCAACAAATGCACCTGCACAATCGGACGAGCCAATCGTCATCTCGTCCGGGACACCAACACAACACGACAGCGTGGGACAGCGCTCGGGCGCAGCCAGTGATAGCGCCGCCCAACCAATGCCTGGCATGGGAGGAAACAGGGGCGCGCCAAGCCCGCGGGAGCCTCGCGAAGCCCGTCGGCACGTGGAGTTCGCGGCGACAAGTGGCGAACAGGCCATCATGGCACCAATGCCACTCAAGCCGCAACGCCCGCCCTGTTTCGACCCGAGCCAGCGTGGAGGTCCGACGGTTCAATCGTGGGTTTTCACGATGAACGTCTTCTTTGACGCGAATTACGTCGAGTCGGACGCAGCGAAGATTCGGTATGCCGTTTCGCTGCTAAGGGGCCCCGCCATGGACTGGTGGCGAGTCATCGTGACGTCGCCACGCGCCTACGAGCCACCGTCGCAAGAGGAAGGGCCCACGGGTCCAGCTGTCACCTGGAGTTCATTCTGCGAGACCGCCCAATATAGCACGTGGGATGCGTGGTGCGCAGGGCTTCGGGCGCGCTTCGAGCCGATCGCGGCTTCTATTTCGGCGCGTCAGAGATTGCGCTCTTGGCGGCAGCTCGGGTCGGTTCAAGATTACACGAGCGGTTTTCTCGCACTTTGCGAGCAGGTCGGCTACATGCACGAAGCGGAGCGGGTGGACCGTTACGTCGGAGGGCTGAAGCCGGATATCTCGCACGAAATCATGCTGCGCGGACTCTCAAACTTCAACGAGATTCTCGCGCTCGTCGAGAAAATCGACATTCTACGCCGACCGAGACCGGGGTCCTACTACGGACATCGTCCTCGGGGACCGATCGAGCACGCCACTGTAAACGCTGTTGCAACAAATGCAGCTGCCGCACCGTTTAAGGGGCGCTGCTTTGCTTGCAACAGGCCGGGCCATCGCAAGAGCGAATGCCCAGAGGAGCTAAGGCGCCGCGGAGCAGAGCAGGGGAGGGAGTCTCAGAGGCAGGGAAACGCCAGCAGTCAGTAGAAGTTGGGCCAACTACTGACGAGACTGCCTGCTCGCCCAACCGCACCGACCCTAACCGAGTCACAGTACCGATTCACGCCATCGATCGGGCTCGGATGAATAAGGAGGGTACAACGACGGATTGCCCAGTACTGATCCACGGGAAAATACAGGGAGCAGCAGTGAAGATTTTTATTGACGAAGGAGCAAGCCACAGTTTAATTAATACCGCAACTGCGCGAAAATTACAACTGACACTTAGTCGCTGCTTACCTGAGATCGACGCACGCTTAGTTGACGGCACGCCGCTGGCCATACGGGAGAAGGTGGAGAGAGTAAAAGTTCGCTGCGGAGGAAACTTCGGGTTTACACAGGAAATGCTCGCGACGACATTGGATGGGCATGATGTTTTACTGGGACGTGATTGGCTGCGACGATATAACCCGCGAATTGACTGGACGACGGATAGCTGCACCGTGCGAAGTAGTGGTAACTGGGTCGAGCTACCTCGCTGGCAGTCGCCCGAGACTTCAACGGTACACGTCAACGCCATCACAATGAAACGGGCTGTTGGTGCTGGAGCTGACGTGTACGCAGTAGACATCGCAGTAGTAGAGGAAGCGGAGCAGCCGAGTGATTTCAAGAAACTGCTGGCAGCCGTACCGCCCGAATTACAGGAACTGTTGAAACGATACCCCGGGATTTTCCCCGACGACTTACCGGAAGGACTGCCACCTCAGCGAGCACATGACCACCGAATCGAATTAGAACCGGGGGCACAGCCAACCGTACAGCGCCAGTTCAGACTGACACAGCCCGAGCTCGACGAACTAAGGAAGCAGTTAGATTACCTGTTAGAGAAAAAATTCATCAGACCGAGCTCGTCACCGTTCGCCGCACCGATACTATTCACGCCGAAAAAAGACGGGGGTTTTCGCATGTGTATCGACTACAGAGCACTGAACAGGGTAACAGTCAAGTCGCGGTACCCCATTCCCCGCGCCGACGAACTGATCGACCAACTGCGAACAGCACGGGTTTTTGTCAGATTTATATGACATAGCTACTGTAGGCTATAGTGGGGTAGCACATATGGGGTACAGTTTTCTAGGGTTTACATTTTGTACCCAACTTTCCCTTAGTCAATTCATTCTCGTTCAGTTTCACATGGTATCGAGCAGGTTCCCCTGTGGGAACTGTTCCTAGGGCCCACCACCTTTTTTTTCCTGCCCGGAGCGCGCTCTACACTGCCCGAGTCGCGCTCCCCTCTCTCGACCCTGTCGCGCCGCCTTAGCGGCCCCGTCGCGTCGCGCCTGCGGCCCCGTCGCGTCGCCCTCGCGGCCCCTGCACGTCGCGCCGCCCTAGCGGCCGCGTCGCGCCGCCCTCGCGGCCCCGATCCGCCGCCCTTGCGGCTCCTTCGTGTCGCGCCGCCTCGCGGCTCTTTCACGCCGCCCTCGCGGCCCTTTCTAGCCGCCCTCGCGGCCTCTTCAAGCCGCCCTCGCGACCCCCCCCTCCTAGCCGTCCTCGCGGCCCCGTCGCCTACCCCTGCGGCCCCGGCGCCGCCCTTCCCTGCCTCGGCGCCGCCTCTGCTGGCCCCGTCGCCTACCCCTGCGGCCCCGGAACTGCCCTTCCCGGCCCCGGAGCTGCGCTTCCCGGCCCCGGCGCCGCCTCTACTGGCCCCGACGCCTCTCCACCCGGCCCCGACGCCGCTCCACCCGGCCCCGACGCCGCTCCACCCAGCCCCGCCGCCGCTCCACCCGGCCCCGCCGCCGTCCCCACGCGGCCCCGCCGTCACCACCGAGCCGCCGGCGCCGCCGAGCTACTGCCGAGCCGCCCGATCCACCAGAGCCGCCCAAGCCGCCGCGCCACCTGCGCCGCCCGAGCCGCCGGGTCGCCGAGCCGCCGAGCTGCAGTTGCTGCCGAGCCGGCGTACCGCCGAGCCGCCCGAGCCGCCCGAGCCGCCGAGTCGCCGAGTCGCAGTTGCTGCCGAGCCGCCGTACCGCCGAGCCGCCCGAGCCGCCCGAGCCGCCGAGTTGCCGACCCGCCGAGCCGCTCGAGCCGCCCTGTCCGGTAAGAGCAGCGCCTCTGTCACTGCACTGCCCTTACCCTACTGTTCGCGCTGCTAGTCTACTGCTGTCATGGCTACCCCTAGTGTCCTCGCTTTTGACGCTGAGGGTCGGGCCATTGACTTTGACGTCTGGGTAGATGACCTGCAGCTTTTCCTACAGTGCGATAGGGCAGACGGTCTCTCCCTCTTTGATCTCACTTCTGGTGCCTCCCCTGCCCCCGCTGCTGATGCTGACGCCACTGTTCGCTCACAGTGCGCCACACGCGATGCTGCTGCACGTCTTGCTGT